AGTGGGGGCAGGGTGTCTGATGCAATGTTCCATCCCAGGCTGTTTACCCAACTTCAGAGAGGAAGAGAGCTGCTTCCTCCTTGCTACCGTTGTGTCTCCTCTAACTCACTTTATAGAAAGGTGATCAGCAGCGACTACTCAAACGTTTCAAGAGTCAGGTTAGCATGTGTGAGGCTGATCTCACAACCTCCACCAAGGACCAACTTGCCTCCAAGTCACAGAATCCCAATGCTCTTCCTTGGCAGGAGGCTCCAGACAAAAGGGTGTTTGTAGAACAGAGAAGCTGCCTAATCGCAGCTTTGGCTCTTCGCAGTCTCCACCCCTCAGGGGAATGCTTTTCCCCCATGGGTGCTTCTGTTTCTGGAGCAGATAAACTCACTGCGAAAAGGCACACGTGCCTCCCAAAAAGATCACAGCAAGCAGGCAAAGCCGCTATTCTGCAATACTGATCCCTCCCACACTCCATATGGGGCTCTAATCTGGTCAGTCCCATTACCCCAAGTCTTCAACTGCATTTTAGACAGGGATTACAACCAGCAAGAAAGGAAGCTGCTCTCCAGCTGAGCTACCTGGAATAATAAAACAGGCTGTGGCAAGCTTGGACAGAGCAGAGCACACAACACAGTGTGCTGCTGAGACCAAAGGGAGGTTACCCAAAATCTCCCAAACTCCAGGTGAATTCCCTCATTCCTACCGATGCATCATTTCCCCCACGCTCACACTTTGCAGCTTATGCCAAAAGCAGTCTTCAAAGCATGGCATCTGAGGACAGTTCTATAAGCCCAGCATCACCTAACAGATGGCAAATTAATTTTATCTTCTGTTTGACAGACTGGGTACCCTTCAGTGTTAGGACACAATTTGCAAGGAAATCGCTCCAACTTTGCTGCCAACGTATTAAGGGACTTAATTGCAAATGATGAGACTGATACACTTAAGTTGCCCCTTACTATTCTCTTCTTGCTAGTCTTCAACCCTGCAGAGGTACCCCTCGGTGCCATTTATAGATGCAGAGTCTGTATATAATATAAAGATATCTCCTTATATGGAGAAAAAGCTTCCTTATGTTGATCACGGTAGAACATACAATCCAGAACGACTCATGCTTAGCAAGAAACATGCCATGATATTGCCCGATTAAAGCCGTCTAACACAAAATGCAGAAGCAAAGTGTAACAAAGAGTCTGAGATTTACAGATTAACTTGGATTTCTGCAGGTCTTTTGACACAAGGGAATACGGGGACTGAATCCTCAGTTATCTGTGTGTGGCACAGGACTGTAAACTCAGACAGAGAGATCATTTAGGAGTCCCGGTACACTGCATAATTCAAACCCTTTCTATAGCGTAGTCGTATGTCAAAGATCACAAATTAGCCCTTCAGACAACTAGGAGAGTGAGGATTAGAACAGGCTCCATTTTTCGGGTTATAGCCAGAGTTACATGTAGGCTTTGTTCATACAGGAGCTTTTATTTTTTTTCCCTGTTGATGATTACAAACCACATCTCCAAGAACCAACTACATCCAGTTTCAGCTCTGCTAATAAGCCAAGAATGGACACTGGCATTCATGCATTTTACTCCGGGCAAGAGACCAACTCACCTCTGCAGAGAATTTGAGAGGACATTTTGGTTAACCCATTCACTAGCCCTAATTAACCACTAACAGGCCTTCCAACTGCAACTACCAATTGGCCTTATGCACGGATCAAAACAAGAATCAGAATTAAGAGGTATATGTGCTAAATTAATCCAATACAAGATTAATCTAATAAAAAATATCACATTTACCCAAAGAACCTTGCCTGTCTATATCTTTAGACCAACACGGCTACAATCAACACCCCCCAAATTAATCCAAGGTACTTAATCCTGCACAACAGCTTAGACAAGGGCATTTTGCGGGGCATCAGGGAATGACACTACAGGATAATCGCTGGAAGGATTAACATGTCCCCACTGCATTTGTGCAGGATATGGCGATAACTAGCTTGGCAAATCAAAATAATAAACCTTAATGCTGCAGTCCTCTCATTTAGTCACTCTTCAAAAAAAAAAAAAAAAAAAGGAAGGTCAGATTTACAACTTCTCTACTGAGATGTGCCCTCTTCCCCTCAGCATAGATTCTGTGTTTCCAAAATAAGAGAAGCTGAATCTCCTGTTGACATTTCCATTGCAACAGTGGTGGGGCAATGATGTTATGAAAATACACTACCTTATTTTTAAGATGACACTGGGAACTGATCTCAGTAGGTGTTTCATAGTTTCCAAACATTTATAGCTTCCACAAGCTTTAAGACTTGGTTTTTAAGTAGCACTTTGGCTGATCAAGACAGGTCTTACTTGAAGTAGGAGAGGAAGGTGGTAATCAGAATGACTGAATTTAGAATCCAATGTATCCGGGCTGTCGCCAGAGCTAGCAATGAATCCAATCCACTTATTTCCAGTGCTGACAGCTGCCAAGATGCAAAGCTCTGTTGTCTTGACTCTAAGAATACTTTCAGGCATTGGTTCAGAAGTGAAGATATTGAGGCCGAATATCAGAGATCCACATAGCTGTCTAAAGCAGAGAGAGGCTATCCCCAAATGATATTTGGTGGATATAAAGGTAAATCAACCTCTAATCAGGGCCCTAATTCAGCACTCCAGCACAACAACTTCCACCGAAGTCAACAGAAATTCTGCCCGACTGAAACTGCCAGATAAGATTAATACAACAAAGCTGTTCTAGCAGAGTGGAGTGACCCGTAAGTACTCCTTGTCCCTGAAATGCAATATTTGTACTTCTCCTACCTTGCTACTTTTTCCTCTGTCCGGATGACTGGTCTAGCACAGAAACACCATTCTTTAATGGCTTACGCTTATCGCACAAATGATCTGGCATTTAAAATTTAAGCTAGTTGGATACTGTACTAAGCCATGTGTCAGGAATCAGGAACCAAGGAAGAGACACCGAAGGGTTTCAAATGTGCTAGCTTAGAGAGAGATTGCTTTGACTGAAGCTGATAAGCCATAAACACAAGAGGTTTCTTGGAAGCTCAGAGGTAATCCAGAATCCTCGAGATAAAGATCCATTCTGAGGGGACAAAACCATGTTAGAGCTTTTGTTAGGACAGGACAAAGCGCTTTTCTAAGGCTAACTGTCTGCAGTCCATCTCTGTTATGCATCTTTCACCTCCATGTTGGCAACTCCCAGCCTGCTGCCAGGCTTTGCACACGAAAAGCCTCTGCCCCTGCTTTATACGACGGTGGAGCAGGAAGGGGAAGCCACGGTGAGCGGATGTACTTTGATCTGAAAAGCCCAGATGATCTTGTCAATCTCCCTCTCAAAAATGCGAAAGGCAAGAAGAGAAAACAGAAGTACAGCAAGTAAGAGAAAAGGAACAGGAAAAACTTCTTCACAGTTAGTGTCCAGTCTGAGGAATAAGCTCCCTCCAGAGGTGGTGCAATCACCTACCCTGGAGATCTTTAAGAGGAAACTGGACGGTCACCTCGCTGGGATCACCTGACCCCAGCTGTCTTTCCTGCTTGGGGCAGGGCGCTGGACCCGGCGATCTGCGCAAGCCGTACGAGGACAGGCCGAGGGATCTGGGACTCTTCAGCCTGAAGAAAAGCAGGCCGAGACGGGACCTGATTGCAGCCTACTGCTACACTAGGGGAGTGCATCCAGGGCTCGGTGAGCACCTGTTCACCAGGGCAAAACAAGGAGTAATGGCCACAAACTCCTGGAAGATCGATTCAGGCTCAACTTCTTCACAATCGGGGTGCCCAGACCGTGGAATAAGCTCTCTCCAGAGACACTGCAGTCACCTACCCTGGAAATCTTCAAGAGACTGGACAGTCATCCTTGCTGGGGTCACCTCACCCCAGTCGTCCTTCCTGCTTGACGATCTTCCGAGGTCCCTTCCGGCCCCTAACACCCGTGAGTCTTGCAGGGTCCCTTCCACCCCTCACGGACACGTCAAGGGGGAGCAGAGCTTTGATACGCTCGTCCGATCCTCGCTAGAGAAACGTGTCTCGGCGCTGCCGTGCTAGAGGGAGGCACGCACGCGACGTGGGACGCCGTACTCCAGGTCACCTCTGCCAAGTCCCAGTCAGCCAGGTGACGCCAAATCTTCTTGAGGCGGGTGTGCTTTCTAGCACGCCCATTCATCGCCTCGCACACCTATGGGGAGTGCCGCGCACCCGCCTTCCCGCACGGCTACACACAAGAAGCGGAAACTGCCGGCGTGGCTGCGCGACACGGGGGCGCGGGAGGGTCAGGGCACGGATTTCACGGACATAAGTGCAGGAGGTCATCGAGTCCGGCCCCCCGCCCCGAGGGCA